CTGCTGCTCTGGCCACTCTGCCTTCTATCCTTCACAGCGAAGCCTCCTGTCTAGGGCTGGGCCTAGGGTGAGGCAGAGTGAGGCCCTCTTCCAGGTACAGAGATTAAAGAAGAGCAGAAATAACGTCAGTATTATGCTTGTTTCCTAGTTCTCCATAACACATAACAAAGGTCCATGCACTGGGTAGTTTACAATAACAAAACTTCATTCTGTCACAGTTCTGGAGACTGGAAGTCCAAAATCAGGGCGTTTGCAGGTCCATGCTCTCTTGGAGCTTCTTAGGGAGTTCCCCTCTTGTCTCTTCCTAGCTTCCTGTGGCTCCCAGCAGTCCTTGGCTTATGACGGCATCACTCAAGTCTCTGACTGCACCTTTACGTGGCTTGCTTTCTGTGTGTTTGCTCTGGGTCCTTGCGTTTCTCCAGCTCTCCCTCTGTTTACGAGGATGCCATTCATTGGATTTAGGGCCAACTCTGATCCACTGTGCCCTCATCTTAGATCATTAGTTCTGCAAAAAACCTGTTTCCAAATAAGGCCACATTCTGAGGTTCGATGTGGGCATGAGTGTTGGTGGTTCATTGTTCAGCTCACTGTAATAGTCATGATAAATAATAATACAACTTTGTTGTTTTTCGTAGTTTGCTATAGGGCTCGTGCACTCACTGGAGTGAGACAGAGATAGGGAGAGGGAAAGTGAGAACTCCTTCCCTCCCAGGGGTACTGCAGAAGGGTCTGGGGCCAAGTAAAGGATTCCAAACCTGACCTGAAATCGCGGGAGGTTGCAAGATTCTTGGTGCCACGTGGAGAGATGTCACTGATGAGAAATAATATTTAAACTAATATGAAGCAGAAAAAATAGAGCACAGTGTCCTATAGCAAATTAAAGTAATAAGTAAAATCCATATTCTAAAGGTAGATCAGTGAGGTTGCACAGCCTCACTTCCAGCACGTTCTGTGCGTTAGAAGTGAATAAGTAGAGGCCAGAGGTGGTGAGATGCTTAAGGCACTGGACTCCACGTGGCTGACTGTGGTCCGAGTGCCGGACCTAGTGGCTTGCTTTCTCACCTTCTCTCTTGCTCTCTGCGTGCACATGCCTATAGCAATTAAAAAAATAATGACAGTAATGATAAATAAAATTAAATAATTCTTTTACGAATTATGTTTTTAAAAAAGGAGTGAGTCAGTTATGTGAGCCCATATTCAAAGGGAAGAAATTTTGATTCCTTTTGCTGCGAGGCATAGCAGGGAATTTGCAGAGAGTGTTTTAAATCTGTGCCGTGCACACGTGCCTTCTCCATGGCGCTCTTCTAGCACGCTGACCTTACTTCTACTCACTTCCTTCTTGGTGCTGTTGGTGTAACCTTGGAGGTGGTCGTGGAAGGCCCATCAAGAGAGGAGCCAGGCAGTGACACAGGATAACAACGTGACCCGCATAGGGAAGGTCCTGGGTCTGCATCCTACAACCTCCCTGACACACCAGGCATGTTTACGTGCCCTGACCTGGGCTGGCTGAGACTGGGGGTGGTTGTGGCATGAAGACCCTGTTGGGAGTGACTGTCTCCCTCTCTTTTGAAAGAAATGCAGCTTTTTTTTTGAGAAAGAGAGTTTTTTTTTGCTATAGGGCGCGTGCGCTTGCCAGACAGAGACAGAAAGCTAGAAATCACCCCCCAGGAGGATGGCCACGCCACAATCCCTTCTCCTCCGTTCTCCTCTCGGGATCTTGGGCACGCATGCACAGATGCCCGGCGTGAGTTTTAAGCCACCAGGTCCAGGACACGAACCGCGGTTGACTGCGTGGGAGTCCAGCGACATAGCCATTACGCTAACTGCTGGTCCCAAGAAATGCAAGCTTTAAAAAATATTTTTTAATTAAGAGATTTCTGCTATAAGGAATGTGCACTCACCAGAGAGACAGAGAGAGAGAGAGAGAGACAAAAGGCAAGAAATCACCCCCCCTGGAGGGGGGTGGTGGCCACACTGCAATCCTTTCTCCTTTTCTCGGAATTTTGGGCATGACACTCATGTGCCTGTGTGTTTTAAGCTGCCAGGTCGGGGACTCGAACTGTCGAACTGTGATTGACCATGTGGGAGGCCGGTGCCTTAACCAATATGCCACCCTCTGGCCCCAATTTTAAAAAATTGTCTAAAGGGCACATGTGCTCTCCAGGGAGAGACACAGAGGGAGAGAAAGTGAGATCCCTCCCCAGGAGGGGTGGCCATGCTGCAATCCCTTCTTCTCCGTTCTGCCCTTGGGACTTTGGGCACACGTGCACACACACCCATTTTCCAAGCTGCTGGGTCCAGGACTCAAATCGTAGAGTTGGTCACGTGGGGTCCGGTGCCTTGACCATTGTGCCGCTGGCCGGTCGCCAGTTGTTTTTCTAAGAGAGAGGAGAGTGTTGACTCCTGTGCCATTTCCTAGGTCGAATGCCTCAGAGCCTTGCTGTTTCCTGGCGCATTAGACTGAAACTCTTACACCTGGTTTTTAAGAGCTTTGACTCTGGCTCCACCCTTTCCAAGGCAACATAATTTTGTGAGGTTTTTTTTTTTTTTGTACTAGACACTTGTATGTCAGTTATTAAGCAGTTTTTTCTTTCCAGGTTTTTGGAATATGGTGCATACTCTCATCAGAGAGAGACAGTGAGAGAGAAAGCAAGAAAACACCCACTGAGAGGGATGGCCACATCACAATTCCTTTCCCCCATTCTCCTCCTAGGATTTTGGGCATACACATACACATACCCAGTGTGATTTTCTAGGCCCCATGTCTGGGACTCGAACCATGGTCGGCTCTGTGGGAGTCCAGTCCCTTAACCACCACGCCACCTGCTGGCCCCAGTTATTAAGCTTTTGTTTCTCATCTCCAAAACCACCTTCCTGTACCTGGTGCTGTGATGCTGGGCCCGAGACTCCACAGGCCGTGTGTGTGCCATGTCTGTTTCGCCCGCTGCCCCCTGTTAGGGGGCGCTAGAAGAAGACTGGAAGCCTATGTAACAGGGAAGGGACTGCTCCTTCCTGTTTGTTTATGGAACTTTCTGGGGGCTTCCTGTGGACCTGAAGTTTCTAGAAGGTGCCACCACACTCCATCCCACCAGAGGCAGCACCTGTCGGTGGCAGTGGGGTCCAGTTTTCAGTGTCACCAACACTTGTAGAACCAGCTTCAGTTTCTCTCCTGACAGACAGCAGGACCCGATGGACAGCTGCTCTTCCTCAGGTGGGAGTTTCAGCTCCAGGGGCTTCTTTCTGGAAGTCTTCATCTTCCCATAATTCCACTCCCCTGAGTTCCCGCAGCCCGAGGGGTGGACGGTGCTCTCTGCACTCACTACCTCTGTGACCCTTAGGGTTCCTCTTTTTAGATTTTTAGTAACCCAGGGAACAACTTAAAGCCTAACTATAATTTTTAAAAAATATTAGATTCTGCCTGTGCAGACAACTGGTTGTTTTTGTTTCCTTCCCAGAACCTGATGAGGTGGTCCAGGAAACAAATCGTTACAGAGGCAGTGTGGGGATTGGCTTGGGTTTGAATGCACCATTCCCACCAGTGGGCAGCGGGCGGGCAGTGGGATGCTGGTGATCCGTGGGGTGCCTGCCGTGTGCGGTGAATCGATTACCTCGTGTGCGTGAGGGCCCAGGGGGCTGCTGTGCAGTCTGGGAGGAGCCGCACCCGGGGCCCTGTGGCCTGTGGGGGAGTGGAGACTTCCGAGCACTCTGGAGCAGCTCCAGGAGGAAAATGACAGACTTGATCTTTAAGTGTTCTGCTCAAGGCATGGGCAGAGAACCCAGGAACCTTTAGGAGAGTCCTGAAAGAATCGCATGTATCTTGTAGCCGTAGGCTGAGGTAGGTGCGAATCAAATGCGTTTAATCGTGTGACTACAGAAGGACTTCAGTTACAGTCACGGCCCCTGTGAGTCTCGTGCGGGAGTTCTGGCAGTGACGGGGAAAGAAACTAGGAATGACAATGTGGACTGGACGTTTGTGCCCCCCCCCCCAATTCATGTGCCATAGCCCTTACCAAGCCTCCGGTGTGATGGCATTTAGATGTGGGGTCTCTGGGAAATAGGTTTACATGCTGTTGTGACATGAGGGTGGGGCCCCCACAATGACATCAGTGTCCTTTTTAGAAGAGGAAGAGGGCACAGCTCGCTGTCTCTCACGGACACTGAGGAGGCCATGTTATTGAGAGATACCAGCCACCTACGGGTCATCATAAAGGGGGGCCCTCAGGATGAAACCTACTTCCCAAAGTCCAGAACTGAGAATTGCATTTCTGCGATTTAAGTAACTGTCGATGGTATTGCTACAACAACCCGAGTAGACCAAAACAGAGGGTATCCACTTGGACTCAGGAGGCCGAAAACCCGAAATGTCCCAGTCACTCTGAGCCTCTGAGCCTCCTCTGCCTGCGAGAAGCAGCTTACTCCTCGTGTCTGAGGACACCATGAGGTTGTCAGGAAAAAGCCATCCCACATTTTTGCATAGAAAAAAAATGTGTTGTGAATCTTCAGACAACCCAATAGTCTTCTCTTACTTGAAAATATTGTATGAACATCACCTGGGGGCAGTTTCTGTTCTCCTCAAGACTCAACCAACTGACTGCTGTCTGTCCCACCTTCCTGCCAATAGGACCCACCAAGCACAAAGTCTGAAGAAGAAACCACTTACAAACTAGGAGAATTACAAGGTTTTGCTAATAAATATGAGCAGTAACCTGGGGAATATGTGTGCAAGTGGATTCTAAGAATATGAGATGGGGGGACGGTAGGTAGCGTGGTGGCTAAGGCACTGGACTCCCACATGGCCAGCCGCGTTCGAGTCCTAGACCTGGAGGCTTGCTTTCCTACTTTCCCTCTCTCTGTCTCTCTCTGGTCAACCTAAACAAATAATAATGATGATAATAAATGAAATTTTAAAAATATATGAGATGAAGGATAGAATGGAACACTAGCTGGCCAGATTTATTTTTACAGGTCCACGTATCCATTCTGGATTCCGAGTTGGTGCAGGTGGCTGGACATGGCTCTGCACTTAGGTCATTAACTAACACTCAGCGGGGGCCTACATTTAATGAAGGCAAGATGCCCAAGTTTCCCTGGGACTGTATGGAGGAGGGAATCTGGAGGCCTAGGGAGATAGGAATATTGGAGTAGACGTACCTCGTGAGACCTGTCACCACCTCCTGCTCTATCGACTCCCAAGTACCTCCCTGAGAGGGCCAAGACGGCAGACACTCCCTTCACTAGCATACCGAGAACAGCATTCGTGAGGGGAGGACGTGTACTCCTCAGACTCTGTAGGTGGATGTGAGGGGAGAGCGGCCACTGAGGTGGGCGTGTGACGGGACAGAGGCCAACCGGAATGGTGAATGCCAGAGGACGGTGGGCATGTACTAGGAAGTGCGACGTCGGTGGCGTGCTCTCATCCACAGAGATGTCTGATGGCGGCTCACCGGGCTCGGTGCCCCTAGAAATGGAGAAGGTGGGGGAGCTAGTCCGTCTGTGTATAGGAAACTCGCTCCAATGGCCCAAGTGCTGACCGCAGTCAGCACGAGGGAGAGCCCGTCTCTCCTCCAGTTTCCAGGTATAAATACGTTCCCAGACCCAGAGTCCCCGGATTGACCCCGGAGCACTGTCACAAGTACACACTGGAGGCCTTCCTGGAAGGAGAAGCCTTTCCCTAGAGCAGTCATGCACTGGGAAAAGGAGGTGCCCAGAATGGCGGGGGTTACTGGGTACTGGCTCTCAGTCGGTGCTCGTTCCTGGAACCTAAAGTGTCACTAACCTAAATGTGGCCCACCAAAGCTACCAGCTGATAAATGGAGTTTCAGTCCAACCTAATAAAACTATATGAGATGAAGGGTAGAATGGAACACTAGCTGGCCAGATTTATTTTTACAGGTCCACGTATCCATTCTGGATTCCGAGTTGGTGCAGGTGGCTGGACATGGCTCTGCACTTAGGTCATTAACTAACACTCAGCGGGGGCCTACATTTAATGAAGGCAAGATGCCCAAGTTTCCCTGGGACTGTATGGAGGAGGGAATCTGGAGGCCTAGGGAGATAGGAATATTGGAGTAGACGTACCTCGTGAGACCTGTCACCACCTCCTGCTCTATCGACTCCCAAGTACCTCCCTGAGAGGGCCAAGACGGCAGACACTCCCTTCACTAGCATACCGAGAACAGCATTCGTGAGGGGAGGACGTGTACTCCTCAGACTCTGTAGGTGGATGTGAGGGGAGAGCGGCCACTGAGGTGGGCGTGTGACGGGACAGAGGCCAACCGGAATGGTGAATGCCAGAGGACGGTGGGCATGTACTAGGAAGTGCGACGTCGGTGGCGTGCTCTCATCCACAGAGATGTCTGATGGCGGCTCACCGGGCTCGGTGCCCCTAGAAATGGAGAAGGTGGGGGAGCTAGTCCGTCTGTGTATAGGAAACTCGCTCCAATGGCCCAAGTGCTGACCGCAGTCAGCACGAGGGAGAGCCCGTCTCTCCTCCAGTTTCCAGGTATAAATACGTTCCCAGACCCAGAGTCCCCGGATTGACCCCGGAGCACTGTCACAAGTACACACTGGAGGCCTTCCTGGAAGGAGAAGCCTTTCCCTAGAGCAGTCATGCACTGGGAAAAGGAGGTGCCCAGAATGGCGGGGGTTACTGGGTACTGGCTCTCAGTCGGTGCTCGTTCCTGGAACCTAAAGTGTCACTAACCTAAATGTGGCCCACCAAAGCTACCAGCTGATAAATGGAGTTTCAGTCCAACCTAAAGCACGGACTGCCCAACAGAGGTGCAGACTCCCCTGGGGTTCTTTTCTCAGCTTTTTGGGGTTTTTTTGTTTGCCCCGATTTCTGTTAGGGGACGCGTGTTCACCAGAGAGAGACAGAAAGAAAGGCAAAAGCACCCCTCCCCGTGGGGAATGGTCACGCTGCAGTCTCTTCTCCATCTCTCCCCTTTCGGGATTTTGGGCACACATGCACATGCGCCCAGTGTGTTTCTCAAGCCGCTGAGTCCAGAGCTCGAACTGTGAAGTCAGCCATGTGGGATCCAGCTGCCTTAACCACCAGGCCATGGATCTGGCCCCCTGGTTCTTACATGTCCGTGGGCTAGTGCCACGGCATAGCAGTAGTGCGGCTCTGAAGAAGTCGGGCCCACGTGGTGACAGTGGTCCTGACCCCTGGCCCCGTCAGCCCGACACATGCTAGGCGTACGTATGCGTGCTCGGGAGCCCAAGGACTGGAGGAAGGGGGTGGCTGCGTGACCAGCCTGTGCAGGGTGTGCATCGCTCGGTCTTTCTCTCGCGCGTGTGCACCTGTATTCTGTCAGGAGAAGCTTGCGCCAGTCATTTCCGTTCATTTCGTTACGTCTGCAAATAATAAAGTGACTGCGGAGTTTTCTCTCTCTTTTTTTCTTTTTTTTTGTTTTTGAGAGATTTTCACTGTAGGGTGCGTGCGCTCGCCAGACAGAGAGAGGACATAGAGACAGAAAGCGAGAAATCACCCCCCAGGGGGGATGGTCACGCTGCAATCCCTTCTCCTCCATTCTCCTCTCGGGATCTTGGGCATGCACGCACACGCGCCCGGCGTGAGTTTTAAGCCACCGGGTCCGGGACACGAACCGCGGTCGACTACGTGGGAGTCCAGTGACATAGCCATTACGCTAACTGCTGGTTCCCCGGAGTTTTCTCTTTTGAAAGGTTTTTAACTCTCCATTTAGTTTCTTTAATATAAATAAGACGACTTCTATGAACTAGATTGTCTGTTTTCTTCTTTCGTGAATTTTGGTAGCTTGTGACCGTCACAGAGTTGGGTAATTTAGTCTAAGTTACTGTTGAATTTCTGTATATAGAATCATGGGTATTATTGTTGTTCTGGAATATCTGTGACTTCTGGCAGATAAGCCCTGTGCACGCATGTGTGTGTGTGTGTGTGTGTGTGTGTGTGTGTCCAAAATCCCATGAGAAGGGACCAGCAGTTAGCGTAATGGCTATGTCGCTGGACTCCCACGTAGTCGACCGCGGTTCGAGTCCCGGACCCGGTGGCTTAAACTCACGCCGGGTGCGTGTGCGTGCGTGCCCAAGATCCCGGGAGGAGAATGGAGGAGAAGGGATTGCGGCGTGGCCATCCCCCCTGGGGG